AAAGGAATAAAGGATATCAGTGATAAGTTTGAAAGAGAACCATCTATAATTCGTGAGTTAAGAAGTCAACTTAAAGGAAAAAAGGATATTAGTGATGGGATACAAATGAATGAGAGGTTGCATATTTTATTTTAAAAAATGAAAAATTTGTAGTTAAAGTAATTTATTTAAAAATTTTTTATTTTAGACTCTTCGATGATTTTTCGGAAAATACCGATGTTCCTAAATTTAAGATGTGGGAATCTTGGGAAAGTGAGGAACTCGAATTTTCATTATCTAAATTTCCTACAAATGGAATTCAACAAATGATTCAATGGACTAAAGAAGGAAAATTATGGAAATTTCCTATAGATAATGAACAAGGTACTCAAAAATTTAGAATGCATTCTTATTATTTTATATGTAACTTATAAATATATTTTTTTACAATATAGGGATGGAAAAAGAAAAAAATGTGCATTTCTCAAAGCATGTGTTTTTAGAACGTCATTTGATACCTTGGTGTCCTTCTAAAGGTCCAATGCGCCATTTTATGGAATTAGTATGTATTGGACTTTCAAAAAACTCATATCTGACAATTGAAGAAAAATATGATCATATAATGTGGTACAAAGATTATTTCCAGAATAAACACGACTTATTAGAAAAATTAGGACTTCTAGAATAGATCAAGAAATTTCTAAATATAACTCTTTGTAATAAATAAAGATGAAATAAAATAATATACATATATGGTTGTTATTTGTTAAAGATATTTTATATGCATTTCACTTTCATCATATTTAATCATTATTCCCATTAACAGTAATACTATCAAATGCAAACGAGCGTTTTACTCCAATTGAAATAATAAATTGGAGGAATAATAATAAATGTTAATAATTTATAGGAATTAAAACGTTATTAGAATGTATAAAATGTTGTAAAATATATAATATAAAAGTATTAATATTTTAAATCTAAATAAATGTAATAATTATAATTGGATTTAAATATTTAGAATAAATTAATGTAATAATTGGATTTAAATATTTGGAATAAATAAATGTAATAATTGGATTTAAATATTTGAATAAATTAATTTGTCAAAAAAAAATGTATCAATGTAATATGTCTCTTCAGTCGAAATCGATTGGTTCAAGCGAGCGGTCTTTTATAGGTATAGGTTAATTTACGTCGGTTTCAAAATTTCCGAGAAAGATGATTGAAACTGAAAATATAGAAGATCAAAATGGATTACGCCCAGATGGTAGGCGGGCATTAGAATTAAGGCAAATTCGTGTAAAAATGGGGGTTTTTGGCCAAGCTGATGGAAGTGCCTATATTGAACAGGGTAACACTAAAATTTTGGTTACTGTATATGGACCTCATCAGGTTAACAAGTCATATTATAATTTTTATATTAATACATTGAAACATATACGATTAATGTTATATTTATTTAGCCAAGAGGTTCTACAGGAAGAAACACAAGTAATATTAGTAAAGGTATAGTAAATTGTCAATATAGCATGGCAGTGTTTAGTTTGTCTTCTGGAGAACGTAAACGCAAACCAAGAGGTGATAGAAAATCGCAAGAAAGATCTCTTCAATTAAAACATGCAATGGAAGCCATAATACATTTAGAGATATATCCACGTTCACAAATAGATATTTATGTAGAAGCATTACAAGTTGATGGAAGTGAATATTGTGCATCTGTAAATGCAGCAACACTTGCTTTAATTGATGCTGGAATTCCTATAAAAGTACACATAAGACAAAACAGATATTTTATAATCTTGAAAAAAATTTTTGTAATTAAATTTATTACTGCTTTATTTTTGCAGAATTATGCGATAGGTTGCACTGTAACATTAATTAATAACCCATCTTTAGAAGATGAAGATAATACATTAGGGAAAGGAGTGCTAGATGCAAATTATGTAGAAGAATGTACTCCTGGTGTTACTTTGTCTGTTGTTGCATTACCAAATAATGATAGTACATCAAGAGATGGTTTGATAGTAGTAGCACAAGGAGCAGGCCAAAGATTGCACTTATCTCAATTTGAATCTTTGAAAGCTCGTGTATTATATGGATGTCAAGATATAAGAACTATTTTAGATTATGCAGTCAGAGAATATTTAACAGAACAATCACTTCCTTCTCTTTTTCATGTTGCATTAAACTAGGTGTATTAATAAAAAATTGTACATATAAAAATGTCAGATAATACAAATTTTTTTCATAAAAATCATATACAAAATTATTTTTTATATATCATTCTTAAAAAATACATATATATTTTCTCTTTCTATATTATAATTATATTATACAGAATCTGTTTTCTTCTTAAACTAATATTTGCATTTTTAAAAAAATATTTATCAATTTCTTTCTTTCTTGTATCTTAAATATTAGCACCAGGATATCTTTCCATGATCATACCAACACCCTGTAATTAAAATAAATTTATTTAATATAAATATAGGATATTTTTTTATATTATATACTACCTGTCCTCCAGCTGCACAAGCTGCAATTAATCCAAATTGTTGATTTTCTTTAATTAGTCGATTCGCGGTATGTGTAGCTAATCGAACACCAGTTGCTGCAAATGGATGACCAATTGACAAAGATCCACCCCATGCATTCCACTTATTAAGATCTGGTATTCCTACTTTTGAAGATCTTCCTAAATAATTTTGTGCAAACCAATCAGAATCTAATGCTTTTAAATTAGCTAAAATTTGTCCAGCAAAAGCTTCATGTATTTCCCATACTCCAATATCCTTAATACTCAATTTTGCTTTTTGCAATACCTATTAATTTATTCAAAAATTTTGTGTTAAAATTCTAAATATATACACTTAACAATGTGATTACCAAAGTCTTACCTGTGGTATAGCGTAGGTTGGACCTAAGAGTAACTGATCAACAGGATCTTGGGAAACATAAATGAAATTTCTTAAATATGCTTTTGGAGTAAGACCAAATTGAAGAGCTTTTTCTTCTGTCATTATCAAAGCCGCTGATGCTCCATCAGTTAAAAAAGATGAATTAGCAGCGGTAACTCCTCCATATGGTTTAACAAATGCTGGTTTTAATTTTGCTAATTGTTCAGGTGTTGAAACACGAATTCCATTGTCTTTATCTACTACTCTATTTTCATTTGGAACTAGAAAAGATACATAGAAACATATTTAAAAGATAAAATTTTATTTATTTTATTCTATCTGATACTACCTTTATAAGGAACTACATCTGTAAGATGTCCCTGTTGTTGTGCTTTAGCAGCTAAAGTATGTGAACGTAAAGCATATTCATCTTGTTCTTCTCTTGAAATTCCAAATGCAGCTGCTAATCTATCACCGCTATGTCCCATTGTTTCATTACTAGAAAATTCTGCTACTGCAGGTAACTATAATTATATAAATACAAATAAATGTAATATATAAGTAGATACAATTAAAATATTAAAAAATATTAAAATATAATATTTTACTATGAAAAATAACATACATCTGGTATAAAATGTGATGGTCTAATGCTAGCAAGGAGTTGTAATTTTTGCCCAACTGTTTTTGCCTTATTAGCTTGTAACATCAATGATCTCATGCGTCTACTATGTCTAATTGGTATATCTGACATGAATTCCACTCCACCTGCAATGATTGCCTCATACACACCACATGCAATCAAACCCATACCAGTTGTAAGAGCTTGATTACTACTGATGCATGCCATAGTTACAGTATGTGCAGGAGTACGATCACTGTATCCTGCTGCTAAAGCTGCTTCCCTAGCAATATTTGAGGTTCTTACTTCTTGCATTACCGTTCCATAAATAATGTATTCAATAATTTCTTTAGGAAATTTAATTTTATTCTGCAAGGCCCTTGTAATAAAATATGATATATGATTAAAACTGAATTAATATACCAAAAATAAAATTAAGCGTTTAGATTAACTTACACTAATGACTGTCTAGCTAAATCGTATGCCATCAAGTTCTTATAACTTGTTCCGGATTGCAAAAATGGTGTTCTTACACCATCAATATATACAATATTTTTAGCATGATTGCTTTTAGTTGCATAAAACTTGTTTGATCTTAAATTATTTATTGCAGAACCTAAAGTAAATACAAGAACCTGGAGTAATATTTTAGATTTAAAACTAATTATATCCATATTATATTGTATATATTAATTAATAAATAAATATGTATATGTATAATAATAAGCATTAGTACAAAAGTATTAGTATAAAGAAATTTAATACTAAGGATTTTAAATAAATTTATTGATTAGATATTTGTTAACAAAACGTCATTATATTGTATAATACACTAGTAGTCATAAAAAATCAATTAATATAAAAATGATTAAGTAATTTTTATTTTAAACTTTGTATTTTATCTAAATAATTAAAAATCGTTTACGAATCTCGTATTTTTTCTTGTTTTTTACATTTATATTGCAAAGTGATTCAACATACCATATTTAGAAAAGCTTTTTTTCATTAAAAAACTATTTTTTGCGAGAGAATGCATGTTTGGAAAATTAGTTTGGATTTCACAATTTTAAAAAAGTGTAAAAAAAATTTCGCTCTTATATATCAGTATTCTTTTATGTCACTATTCCTTTTTCTTAGTTACTCCACCCATACTAGTATAAATGTTGAACATGGACACGACGTATAAAGTACTTTGAACTTAGACCTCAGATCTTATTCTCACAATATTTTTAACTGCTTTTGCATTTACATAAAAACTACCTTAATTTAGAAGTGCGGGAAAAGTGACAGATTTTCCCGCTTACGATTATACGTATGAATGATTTACACTTTTGTGTGTAATAAATATCAATTTCATGCAGTTTCAGAATGAATTTAGTGCATTCTATTGTGGAACGTGAAAAAGGATTTGGTAATTGCATTTCATGATTATATAAGTAAAACATTTTTAAGTATATTGCGAATATAAACTGATAGGTTATATATAATCCAACATAGTATTTAAACGTAATGATCGATATATATATTTATGTGTTTCACATGTGATATCCGATTTTAAAGATAAAATATGAATTTTAAACAACAAATTTTTTTTAGCATCAATACGCGATTATGACATTGCTTTGTATCGTTTGAAATGTTATGAAGACGATGTATATAGAGGTATAACACCAAATACAAATGCATTGGATTTTAATCCAGAACCACCAGTTTTTGCATGTCGGTTTTGTACTACAAAAGGATACGAGCAAATAATTGCTTTAGCAAATGAAGATGGCAAAGTTGCATTACAAGATACAAACATCAAATGTATGTCTGATCAACCATTGGAAGGAACACAGGTATTATATTAAAGTATTATCAAAAATGAAAAATTATAATTTTTTATTTACAAAATAAATAATCAAATTAATATAAGATATTGGAATTTTTTAGGCACATCGTAATGCAATATTTGATGTTGCTTGGATGCCAGGGGAATTAAAATTAGTTACAGCATCTGGAGATCATACTGCGAGACTTTGGGATGTATCTGGTTCTGAAATAAAACAAATTGATTGTTTTCATGCTCATACAAGAAGTGTTAAGACTGCAGTATTTCGTTACCAAGATCAAGGTATTTGTTCAATATTTCATGTTTTAGCATATATTTTACAAAACAGAATATTAAGTTCTAAAAAAGTATATCTTATAGCTGTATTTGCAACTGGAGCTAGAGATGGTTCTATCATGGTATGGGATATTAGAGCTAATCATTATGAACGTCCTAAACCAGATAATTGTATTGCTAATGCACACAATGTTGGAACTATAAGTAATGTACGACAACGTAGGACAATCAGTCATGCATCCAGAGCACAAAGTATTACTGGGTTGGTATTTCAGGATGATTTCACTTTAATTTCATGTGCTGCTGGAGATGGGTAAGTTTATTAGTGTTTTTTTTATATGATTACTACATGAACAAATAAAATTACAATTATATTATTGATACAGTTTAATAAAAATTTGGGATTTGCGTAAAAATTATACTGTTCACAAAAAAGATCCTTTAGCTAAACATACAATGAACTATACTGGGCATAGTACAAAAAATGGATTTTCATCATTGTTAATATGTCCTGCCAGAATTACATTATATGCTAGTTGTATGGATAACATCATATATGCGTATAATATATCATCTTACAGTTCTAAACCAAGTAAGAATAATAGTTAAAAGCATTATTGATGTGAAATATTAATAATATTACTATTATTTTTTTTGTATATATCAGTTGCAGAATTTTATGGACATCAAAATCGTACATACTATGTTAAAACTTGTTTAAGTCCTGATGGGCGTTATCTAGCTAGTGGTTCTAGTGATGAACTTGCATATATTTGGCATACAAACAAACCAGGTGCTCCAATTGTACAACTCTCAGGACATACAGAAGAAGTTACTTGCATTGCTTGGTGCAGTGTTCGAGAAACAAAAGTATTAAAAACAATGTTATTACTTCATTCTAGCATTAAAATTTATTATATGTTATATCCACGTATTTTTGAAAATTATGCAGATAGTAACATGCTCTGACGATTCATGTCATCGAATTTGGAGAATTGGCTATGAACATAAACTAGATAATGAAGAGATACAAATACGTGGTCGTGCAGAAGCTATTTTTAATAGAAATCCTTTGGATAATTTAAAACTCGAAACTACACCAACTACACGACGTTGGGTTATGCTTCAAGAGCATACACCAGGATCTGATATCACGCCTAGTGCGTAACTATGAAACAATTTAAAATATCTGTATAAACTAACTATAATTATTATGTCATAATAGAATATTATTATCTTTTTTTCGTTAGATGCTACACCTGGACCAAGTTCATCGGATGTTTACAATCAAATAGAAGATAATCAAGATCAGTATAATGTTAGTTATAATGCTTCAATGAAGAAAAGTTATTTTCAAATGATGAATGGATCCTGGTCTGATGGAAAATTTAAGTCAGTTTTATCTCCAATACAAGAAAATCTTACATCAGATCGTGTTGCAAAACGTATTCATTTAGAAAATCGCGGTGCACGAAGATTGTTTAGTCCGTATAATAATAATAACTTGTCATTGAATAGAGGCTATGAATCTGATGAACCAAGCACAAGTTCATCTAGTAGAGAAAATAAAAATAACGAAATTCATTTTTCACCTACATTAAATCTTCCAAATTTTGTGATTGATGGTACAGCACCACATTTACTTCAGTTATCTCCAGAAAAGTACAAAGAAAATGTTGATTGGTTAACGAGAATACGAAGAGAAAAATATGAAAAAGTGAGGAAAGCAATGTCAGAAAAGTCGGCTAGTCCTATTTCTTGTACAGCGTCTGCTAAAAGAAATACTAGATCACGTTCAACAGAACCGCAGAGAGTATCTAAAATGCCGAGAAATTCACCTCTCTCTTTACTAAATTTCTTTAAAGTTACTGGAAAAGATTGTGAAACAAATATGTGTTATGATGATACTAATGTAATATCTTCTGCAAAATCTTAAAAAAATCATGATTTTTCGTAATTGTTAGATTGTATTTTATCTGTGTTAAATTCCGTATGAAACTTTTATTAAAAATGTTTTTTAACAAATTACATTCAAAATATTAATCAATGAATGTGATATAAACATCAGCGCGCTTTCTATTGTTTACGATGTGGTACCTTACAAAAATAAGTAGAATTTAAATGACATAATGTAAGATAAGAACATAACATAGAGATAAGTTAAAATATAACATACAAGTATTACAAAGTATGTAACAATAGATTATATACTCACAAGTGTCATGTTCGTAGTATATCTTTTATATGCAATAAATTATTTTTATAATTATAATTAAAATAAAATTTTGTTAATTTTTTATTAATATTTAGTTTTTTTAAGATCATAAGAAATGAAGGTTTAGAACAAATAAATAGATTTTTAATTTTATTTATATCATATATATTTTTTGTTAACTGTTCAATTGAGGACAAAATACTTTTACCGCTCGTGAAAGCAATTTAATTTCAACGGGTTTTAGTTCATACTCTTCATTATCGATATATAATGTATAGTTTTTATCGACCTATGAATAAATTAACATACAGAGATTAAATAATTAAAATTTTGAAAATTCAATAAAATTTTACCTTTCGTGGAGTTAATTCAATTTTTTTTGCTTCCACTATTTGATTACATAGTGATTTATTAGTTTGTTCTTTTTTCCAACCTTTAGACACAAAGGAAAAATAATTAACATCCTCTGGACCTATACAATAAAAATAATTTCTCATGACTGATTATTTTTTTAAATATTTATATTTTATTATATATTTATCTAATTACCAATTTTCACTTTTAAAGATGATGGTGATAATTCAACTATTGACTTGTCTATATTAGAAGTTTCTATATGCAATTCACAAGTTGATACAGGTAGTTCATGAAGAATAGCACATTCTTCGTTTATTCTTTTATTAAAATCAATAATATCTAAAAAGTATAGTATTCTGTAATTACTTTGAGATATTATATATATTTTGTATAATAGTACATACCTCTAGTAATAGTGCTTCTTGGTAGAAATACATGCCACCACCTTGTATTTAAGTTGGAAATTAAATTGTTTTGACTACAACGAGAACAACCTTCGCAAGGAAGTGTATATTTTAATATTGCATCGCAATATTTATTTAAATTTTCTTTAGAACCATTAAATATATAAGTCACATATCTGAACGATAAATATATGATATTAGATATAAGTTTAAATTAATGCAAATATTATATGAGCTCCAAAGTATTAAAGTAAAGATATATATACTTTCTTAAAAATCCCCAGTACCAATATTTATTAGCAGAAGCATTTGCATCTTTCCATGCACCCCATTCAACTGCTCCCATGGCATAAATTGGTTTTACTGGTTCTTCAGGATTATCCTTTAATTATGAAACAATATAAGATTTAAAATTAATAAGAAAATTACAAATTTGCTATGTAAATAACAGAAACATACTTCAATAGGTTTAACTTCAATCATATCCATTATTTTACATTCCTCATGTATGATTGCCATTGTTGCCTCTATCATTTGTTTTATATTAGACAAATTATCATACTCATGATATAAAGATTTTGCAATTTTGTTTGTTTGTCCCAATGGTAAAATACCAATAGGACATTGTTTAACTGAGTTAAGATTGAGATCATATTTCCTTACTAATCCAGTTAAAACATCGGATAAAGTACCATCACCTCCTGCAACTATAATAGCATCAGTAGGAGTATTTAGATTCATTATGATTTTACGAGCATCATTTTGTGACTCTGTCTGTATTATAGTTACAGCAATTCCAGCTAAATGTAAAAGTGGCTCGCAATATTTCTCAAATAATTTTTTTGCTTTCCTATAAGTAATAACAACAATTAATTATGAATTAAATCATAAATATATTGTTAATTCTGAAATTGAATTTAAGCAAACCCTTTTTTAGCAGCTGGATTTAAAATAATGGTAACATGACGTGGTTTTATATTTGTTGGAAGTGGAAAATCGCCATATTGTGATATACTTTCACAATGTTGTCTCATTAATTGATTAATACTGAAAATATTATCATTTTTTAATATTACCTCAATAATAAAATGTAGTTATTAATCACAAGACTAAAATTATATCTTACTCGTATACTTCCTTACTATATGAAAATCCATATGATACAGCTGCACATCCCACAACAGATTTTTTCCAATTATTTTGTATAGTTCGCAAAAAATTCAATATTTTGGCCATTTTTCAAACACTTATATTTTCAATAACATAACCTTAATAAAGCTGTACTTTGTCTATCATTATAAATAACATTTAAAAACGATTAAGAACTTCAGAAATATACAAAGAAGATTATTTAAGGTAAATAAAGTTTGTGTTTTTTTCATTTTATATAAAAATTAATTTTTATCATCTGTAATAAGATAATCTCAATTTTAATAATACATGTCTGTTGGAAATTTGTGAAACATGATATTTTAACTCTTTAAAAAATTTTTAAATTTAAATTTATTAAAGAAAATTTCCTTTAAAAACTTTCCAATTTTCAATTCTTTTAACCACACGGTTATTATCAATTGTATGTATTATATAAATTAAATGGAGAGTAATTTTACACACGTGTTCTGTATAGTTTACAATTGCATTGTAAACTATAATTATTTAAATTTCACATGTAGAATATTAACAAATATTATTAGTTTGATTGAAATTATTATTTTTCAATAAATTCCTTTTTATTGCTAACAAAGATAATATAATCTAATTTGTATATTTAAATTTCATATTATCGTAAATGTAAAGAAAATATACGAATTTTATACAATAATTGCTCCATTTATGATCTTTAAATCACAAAAATTGTCTCATTATAATTAGTTAATTATTTTTTATCATTACATTGAGTATAAATGAAACTTATTTGTCCAAAGGAAAGACTCTATGCGGATTTGTCCGCGTTATGTGCTATCGTTATAAAATAGAAAAATTTCAGACATAGATCAATAGAGATATTATAAATTTTCTCTCTTTGTATTTCATTTCTCAAATAGAAGATGGTAGATAGTAAACAATAATGTTAATATACACTCGAATGTATTGCAGTATTAAGCGGAGTGGATGAAGCCGTTCAAGCTTCAAAACTTAAGCTCAATAGCACTACTATAAGCTAACAATAAACCACCTTCATAAGTATCAGCCATTTTATCAGTTAATTTCATTAAAAAAAAAGAAAAAAAAAGGCACCAAATTTATATAATACGTAAATGTACGAATTTTTTATTTGTACATTTAGATATGTGTAAAAATAATATCATGTTTATATGGATGACAGGTCAGTGCAATTATTATTTTAATTTTGTCACTTCTCAATGTATAGTTAACTGTATTTTCTAAAACGCATTAGCTAAATCTAATGCTTACATTGTGCTCACACTAATATTTTGTAAATGTTACATATGTTTTTTATATCTATATTGTATTAAAAAAGTCATGTATTTTAGAAAATTTGTTTAGTAACAGAATAATTAATGATGCAGTAGATAAGATATAATTTTACATGGCTAAACTATTGGTTTTATGTATTTTAAATACTTTACTCATACTTTATGCAATATTGTATTTATAAGTAAAATTAACATAGGATAATTGTAGCAACTTGAATATATAATTTATTTATTCTTAAAATATCCATTCTTAATGAGATCCTTTCTTAAAAATTATTTTCTTTTTTGACTGTTAATCGTTATTCATGTATCATTAAATATCAATATATAAGTACATGATTGTCATGATACAATTGAATATTAGGTAAAATTTATATAAAAATTAATTAAAGACATAGTGTTTTTTGAGAAAATTAGTTTAAAAAAGATGTAAGTGTGCATATGCATGTACTTGAATAATCTTTATATGAAACTATGTAGAAGATCAATGTAAACTTTAAAAATACTGAAAACTTCAATAATATAAAAAAATATAAAATATTTTTTAGTATTAAATCATACCAACGTCATTAATGAATCTATATTGGTTATAATTTTGAATCAACTAACAAAATCAATTTTTTAAAAATTATTTTTAAAATTCTAGTTGTAAAATAATTATTAGTTATAGAAATTAATTATTATTTGAGTGCATGCATATTTAGCAATATTTTAAAATTAATATTTTGAAAAATAAAGTATGAAATAAAAAAAATTTCACTGTATTCCTTTTCATTTACTTTCTATGTTGTCAATTATTTTTTGTGTTGGTTATATTATATATTTTTAGTTAGTTCTGTCATCATAATGATTATGTATAAATGTATTGAATTAAATACAATATTCATGTAAGTTTATATTACAGGTAAAATTAAATTATAATATATATACTGATAAATGTAAAGTACAAGTGAAATTTATTATATAGAAGACTTTGATTTGGTGATAATAAGAGATGGAGTCTAATAATTATCTGGATTCTAATAATAAAGTGTGTAAAGAAGTAGATAACATTGAATTATCTGCGTCTAATAATGAAGCAAATGAAGTAAAAGTACAACTTGTTGAACCCTTGATTGATAATAAATGTGATATTGTCAATAAAAAGAATACATTCGAAAAAAATCAGAATGAAGATTCTTCAAGAGAAACATCATTTTCTATTTTTAATTCTGCAACATTGCCAGAAGCAACCACCTCACAGGACAATACTTCAACTTCATCAAATGATATTGAACCAAGTTCTCCTTCTAGCAATCAAAATAAATGTAAAAGAAGTATTTCAAAAGGTATTGTAATAATATTAGCAACTTTATCAGAGTTCATAATTTACTTTATATTTTATATTTCATATTTCATATTTATACTTCATATTTTACTTTATATCATTGAATTTAACTTATAGCTCAAGTAAATGATGATAATTGTGATGATAGTAATAATTCTAATAAAGAATCAAGTAAACATCAAAAATTAAATGAAAATATTTGTAATAAATCAAAATCTGAAAATAAAATAGTAGATAATATACAATTAGTAAAGGAGCCTAAGGATAGTTGTAGTGAAGAAATTGCTGAAGATGTTGAAATGAGACCAGGTAAATGGTTGAAAAGAGATATATAACATTTTAAAAGATTTTGATACTACATTGTATTTAAATAGAAACTGAAGAAGCTGCAGCTCTTAGGGAAACAAAGAATCATGAAGAAGGACTAGAAATTGATAATGATAGTTCACATGCTGAAGATGCAGGTATATATATTGTTAAGTTCATTATTTTTATTTTGTTTTATTTTTATCATTAAACATTAATAGAAATAATGTCAGAGCTAGTGTTATTTTAACAATTAGAAGAGTTTCTTTTACCAAATGTCACAGAACAGGATTTGAGACGATTGACAGGATTTGAGTCTCCTTTGTCAAATGATTCAAATTTTGATACTGAACAAACATCTAGTGAAGAGCAATCAGAAGAGTCAGAGCCAGATACTCCAGCTTGTCTGAAGAAAAAAAGACCAAAGCCAACTTGGTTTGTAGTACCAGAACTCCTTCACCGTGAAATGGGCATCAATCCATCATTTCAACGTAGATATTATGGCTCTTTACATGTCGTAGAACATTTTGAACTTATGTACAAACTTAAAGAACATGAGGTACACATTTTATGTTTTAAATTCTATACTTAAAAAATTAGAATACAATTTTTATATAATTTTTATAGGGCTGCGTTAATACCTTAAATTTTAATAAAACTGGAAATTTATTGGCCAGTGGTTCTGATGATTTATATGTAGTTATATGGGATTGGGCGATAGGAAAAAAACATCATTCTTTTGCTAGTGGTCATAGAAGTAATATGTTTCAAGTATGTACAATTAAATATATTTTGTAATGAATTTTATTTTTATTCTTAAAATATATTATTGTAATTTACTTTGTTATTTTATTTTATATAATTACAGAAATATATATCGTGGTAATTTTTAATTTTTAGGCTAAATGGTTGCCATTTGATGAAGAAAATTTAATGGCCACCTGTGCTCGTGATGGACAAGTACGTTTATTAGATATTAGACGCGGTGCATCACGAAAATTAGCTACGCACAATGCGCCAACTCATAAACTTGCACTTCATCCGGATACACCACATGTTATTGTTTCTGTTGGTGAAGATGCAAAAGTTCTATCTATAGATATTAGGGAAGAAAAACCAACGAAGTATGTTTCTTTTAAGTATGTTTTTATAAAAAATATGTTTTCATAATATATAGAAACAATTTGATTGTATAGGTTGCTTGTAGTAAGAGATTCTGGCTCTTTCCATGTACAATTATACAGTGTTCATTGTAATCCTCTTAAGAGTAATGAATTTTGTGTTGCTGGTCGGTCTCAATGGGTTAGAATATACGATCGACGAAATGTGTCTAAACCAATGCATGAATTATGTCCTAAACATTTGGTATATTTTTTAAATTTTATATAGTTAAAAGCAAAATTATATACTACTTTGCAATTTAATTTAACTTTCGTGAATTATAGACTGAGAGGAAACATATACACATAACATGTGCTTTATACAATTATGATGGAACTGAAGTTCTTGCATCTTATAACGACGAAGACATATATTTATTTGATGCAATATCACCACAACCTGGAGATTTTGCTCATAAATATGAAGGCCATAGAAACAATGCTACTGGTATATATTATTGTTTGATAAATTTTGTAAGTATAAAATGAAAATTTATATTTTCTATTTCATAGTGAAGGGAGTTAATTTCTTTGGGCCAAAAAGTGAATTTGTTATATCTGGATCGGATTGTGGAAATATATTTATTTGGGATAAGCATACTGAAGCAATCGTAAATTGGATGCCTGGGGATGAACAAGGAGTGGTATGTAATCTATTAAAAATGTAATGATAAAGCTTAATAACACTTTGTCGTATAGGTAAATTGTTTAGAACCTCATCCACATATTCCTATTCTTGCCACAAGTGGACTTGATTGTGATGTGAAAGTTTGGGCACCTTCTTGCGAAGATCCCCCTTCGCTTCGAACAGTAGAAAGTATACCCTTAATAGAAAAAGTATGTGTAATTTATGAAAATTGTCGTAATAAACATATGTATCGTATTATTTTTATATTTTATTTCAGTGTGTTACATCTAATGCAATGAATAGGGCACAAGAAACTAATACTGAATCTGATGCATTCGATAGTCAAATGTTTTGGATATTATTAAGACATATTCGTCATACGGAAAGAGTAAGATTAGTATGTATTGATTAGTAGATTGACGATTAAAAATACAATGTTCTATATAAATTTATTTAATCATCGTTTTGATGTAGAATCTAAACGCACGTCGAGGTTCTAATGATCAAAATCAGGATGATGATGATGACGATGACGATAATATTGATGATTCTTCAGATGATGACTCTTCTCATCACAGTGATAGTCAATCAGAAGGAGATGGGTTTAGAAGATTGCAATGTCCTCCATCTTAGGTATTAAAACAGACTACTATTTTACGTTTTGTACATTAATATTTATACTATGTCTTTGAATAATGTTATTAAAGATGAGTAATTATGAAGAGATAAATTCAAATTTTTAAAAATTTGATTTAATAATAATTTAGTACTTTGATAATACAAGTGATATGTATAATTTATTATAATTATAAGAGTTAAGGTGCGTTGAATATGTATAAAGAGTCGCTAAAAGTATGTAAAATATTAGCTGAAAATGACAACTAATTAGTTCCATTTCTAGTAACAACATAGCTACAATTTTGTCTTCTTCGAAAAATTTAAAAAATCGTAAAAGATAAGCGAATGTATTTAAATTTACATTCTTGCTTTTGTTATTTATAAGTTTAATAATAATTGAAAATATTTTAGTGATTTTTGCAAGATAAATTGCGTTTTGAAAATTGTGAGAAGGAAATAAAATTTAAATATCAAAATGTAACATAAAAGAAAATAAAGGATTGTTTCTATGCATAATATTGTCATTGGTACAATTTATTGTGTTATATAAAATATAAAAAGTTAACAAAACAATTTATTAGATAATTTATTAATAGAATAAGATTTATTTTGTAATGTGTATAGTAATACACATTATAAAGAAATAAAGAAATAGATTGAACTATTGATTTTTAAAAATATACATATAAACATACATATTGTTCAAAAGATGCCTATGGAATGAGCAAGACCAGCATACATATATAATGTTGTAATACCCATGATAAAAGTAGTGGCAACTTTAACAATAAGGGTTGACCATGAACCAGTTAGAAAAACTACTAAGAAAAAATCTAAAATAAGTGGCCTATAAACTGTAAGTATGAGCATGCCAACTACCACTGGTACCAAACTTCGTTTTAAATCGTGTCGTGACCATAACCATACAAGCGTTGCTGTAGTTATATGTTGTACCTAATATTTATGGAATAAAATGAAGTTTTTAATAAAAATTTTCTTGCAAGATATTAACAAAAATAGTAGTACAATATCACTTACTAAATTAATGTTAGATTCAAGACTTTTTTGAATATATTTCCAATCAAATTCTGCACTTCTTGCTCCTACCCATAACAGAAGAAACCTAGTAAGTAATACTTCGGCTCCAGCCCATCCAACTCCAGCCGTTAAAACTTTCGCATGCCCTTTACCAGGTATATTGTTTAATACTAATAGAATTCCTACTAAATCAGCTAAGTCAATTGAAGATTTTAAAAATTCCTATAAAGTTTATAAGTTATGTAGTATATAAAATAATTAATAACATATTTGTAATAAATACAAGTCAATTAAAGACATAAATACATACGCCAATTAAATCAAAGCCTTCACCTGCAACATTGTCTGCTGTAGGAAAAAAAGTAGCAAGTGCTAACATTTTGATTAATTGTGTAAATATATAAATGCCTCCAGCTTGAATACATTTCCAAAATGCACCATATTCTGATCTGAAAATTTATATACATATTTTTAAATATATATATTTATATATTATATTTATATATATATTTAAAATAAATACACATTTACATTTATATGATAGATGCATCAGAAATTCAATTATAATTAAAATACAGGAATAAAATCAGGAATTACAATTATAATATTATTAATTATTAAAATAAAAATAATTTCAGAAATAATGACCAAATAATTACAAATAGGTTACAAAAAGTTAAAATATACTTACAAGCCAGAATATTTATAAGTAAGGTAATATGGAACATAAACTAAAGCTAAGCAATTTCCGAAATGATACAATGTCATTTTCTTAGTAATATTATGTCAATTTAATTTAAATATTATTCATCACACAGTAGACAATTTACACACAAAAGATAAGTATCAAATGATACTCCATACACCACAGCACTGACGAGGTATATGACCACAGGTATACACAGCGACTATACCTCGTCTGCCTACATATATCATTGGCTATATATATGAAATAAGTATGTTGAGAAGGAAAACTACTGTATTTTTTACAAAATAAAAAGCAGTTTTGTTATGAATATTTTGTTGTTTTTAAGATAAATTACGATTATATGTATGTATCTATTTTTTAAGTTTCAAAACTTTATCATTTGTAATCTATAATGAAAAGATTGCAATGCTGTTATTAAGAAAATAAATAATTTCTTGCAGGTATGTTATATTTTATACCTTTTAGTTTATTTTATTTCTATAGTCTTTATTCTATTACGCATATTTTATCTATGATGTTTCTAATTTTTAGGTTAGGTTTTAGTTCGCTTTGAGTGAGGTTATTTTTACATTTTTTATTTTCATGTCTAAATACTTAAAAAAATAATGACTATTCCGTCTGTTAATAATTTTACAAATAAATCATGGATTAATAAGTCTGTATATTCATAAGTTGAAATACGAAAATTACATTATTTTATATGAAATTATTCATATGATTTCGATAGTTTTTAAAGTGTAAAATGTAAAGTGTAAAATATCTTTTTTATAAATATTTGGTAAGATCTATTTGCAATGCGTTTGTAGTACATTGCTGTTCATAGCATATTTTTTTTTCTGCAACATCAAGTCATCCCCTATATTTTAGCCCCTTTGAAAGGGGTATCAGTCACCCCTTTTATTAAAAAGGGGTAGCTGCTAAAAAAGGGTGTTGCAGCTGGAAAAGTATTGACTATGTGTTTCTAACGTTTTTGATTTTTTAAATGCTTTTTCTCTGATTAATTTCAATATAATGGACAGGTATAGAGGTATACAAAACCATACAAATATATTTTTACCAAAAATTTAGAAGCTATATGAAAACAAAAGCAAAATGTAAATCAGATTATATTGTGAATTGTGACAATTTCCTCTCCTGTGTAGTTAGAATTTAGAGGACACACCCCTTTAGCAATGGGTTTAGAATATTGTAACGGAACATGCTTCATCTTCTTAACATTTCCTCTTCTTTTTAAAACATATCTACCCCTTGCATATCTACCCCAACATTGTTAATGGTAGACACACTCCCTTCTCTTTTTTCCATGTGAAATCAGTAAGGCACACCCCTTTTGGTGTGGGATTTAGAATATTCCACCGGAGCATGCTCTGTCTGTGAAACGTCACAGACTGTGTCGCAGAAGCAGTTCTCCCTTCCTGACGTCTACTCCAAGGGATGGGTTGGGAATTCTGTATGATTGGTCGGGGATGTTCTGGATGTGTTGAGTGTATCCTAGGGTAGCTGTTCTCCATTGCAAGTGTAGAAGGAGAGATCAGTTTAGTTTAAACTTCCGTTGAGTTTAGAATAGAAAAGTGACAATTATCTGTGATAATGTGTTATGTTTATAAATATAATAATAATATGTATCAGTGTAATTATAATTGTGCATTCTGTTTAAATATACCATTTACTTACATATATGTTTTTGGTGTATATCAAATTAGAAATTAAATAAGAATAAAGAAAGTTTTTCAGGAGTTTCAATATAAGTTTTATTTCTTGTATTTTTATTCTAATACTTGTAATTATTTGTAAAATGTATATAGTATTGCATCAAAAATAAAAATACTGAATAATTTATTTTCTTTAAACATACATTTTACATACAAATAAAAAAAATATGGAATTTGATTTTCATTTCAATTTATTTTAACTTTTATATTCTTTTACACAATAATGTTTTCTTTAGTATTTTTATGATCATACTATTAAATAAATACTTATATTTATAATACTTATATTTATAGATAAACTGATCAAATTTATCATTATGTATAAATTATTCTATAAAAATTAATGTCAGTGCTATCAAGATCTGTCAATGCAATTATAATTGTGTATTTTTTAAATGTAGCATTTACTAATAATATATATAAAATTAAAAATTAAATTAAGAATAAGGAAAATTAAAGAGTTTCAATATAAGTATTGTTTCTTGTATTTTTATTCTAATACTCATAATTGTAAGATATACATAATATTTTTATGTCTCAAAAATAAGTACTAAATACTTAATTTTTTAAACATGTATTTATATAAATAAATAAAATAAAGGAAATTGGTCATATCTTTCTTTGATTTTCCTTATTTTAATTTTTTAATTTTTTTATTCAATGAATACTTATATTTATAAACAAACTGATCAAATTTAATTATTATGTATAAATTATTGTCTAATATTAATATAATTACTAATAAACTAATAAATATTTATACTTATAAATAAACTGATCAAATTTAATTATTATGTATAAATTACTGTATAAAAATTAATATCAGTGATGTTAAAACTTCTAATAAAACAAAATTGGTAAGTTTTATATTTCTAAGTAAAAAGATAATTTTTCTTTGTGTATGTAACTATTTTTTTCATTTTTTATGTCAGTATTGCATGTTACAATTGTTATATATATAATTACACAGATGAAATATAGAGCTATATGCAATGTATTTTTTTATGTCATATCCGTAAGACATCCTTTGGAAACTGATTTAGGTAAGTTTTGTACTGCAGCGCTTTAAATGATAATACAAAATCCAAAAATATGAACAATATTGCCATCTGCTTTGAAAATTATTTGTTAATTTGAACGTGGTGATATTTCATCAATAAAAGAATATGTGGACCAATAGGTGATGGTAATTAGAATGAAAAATTTGTTATACATTTACATCTATTTAAAAATATTAGAAAAAATTAATCAAAAAGTGATATGAATTGGATATAACATTTTTTAATGTACAAATTAACATTCTAAATGAATGATTCTTATCCCGCAAACTCGATTTTGTTGATTGGACCTATCAAACGAATGTTTTTGTAAGTGTATATGTTATTATTTATTGTATATGTTATTATTTAATATAAATCAACACATTATGTGGTATGAATTACTTTTTTCAAATCATTCAATGAGAGAATTTCGAAATCAAATTCATGTTTCTTTTTCCTTTTATTTATCCATTTTTTTTAAATTAACTTTTTTTTATTTTCTTTTTCATAGTATGATGATATTTATTGGAACGAATTGAACAACTTGCATATGAAGTCATTTATTGTTATAATTTGTTAGAATTTTCATTATGAATTAATGAATTATGTAGAGGTTAAATTTTGCTGACTTTGTAAAAAGAGATTGTAATGCAGTTATTAAGAAAATAAATAATTTCTTCAGGTAATTTTTGAATAATTTTTTTTAAATATATGTTTTATATTTTCCAATTTGCCTTGTTTCTATAATTCAATAAAATTATTCCATTGCATTTATTTTAACTATAATGTTTCTAGTTTTTAGGTTAGGTTTTAGTTTGCTTTGAGTGAGGTTATCTTTTTATTTTTTATTTTCTTTTCTAAATTTAAAAAAATAATGATTCTTGTGCTCGTAAATAATTTTCTAGTAAGTTATGTAATATGATTAATAAATCTGTACATATATAAATCGATGAAATACGAAAATTACATTATTTATGTGAAATTACATTATTCATATGATTTCGATAATTTTTAAAGTGTAAAATATTTATTTTATAAATATTTGGTAAGATTTGTTTACAATATGTGTGTGCTACATTGCTGTCCATAGCACATTTTTTTCTGCAACATCAAGTCATCCCCTATATTTTAACCCCTTTGAAAGGGATACTAGTCACCCCTTTTATTCCTAAAAAAGGGGTAGCTGCTAAAAAAGGGTGTTGCAGTTGGAAAGGTATTGACTAAATGTTTCTAACGTTTTTGATTTTTTAAATGCTTTTTCTCTGATTAATTTCAATATAATGGACAGGTATAGAGGTATACAAAACCATACAAATATATTTTTACCAAAAATTTAGAAGCTATATGAAAACAAAAGCAAAATGTAAATCAGATTATATTGTGAATTTTGACAATTTCCTCTCTTGTGTAGTTAGAATTTAAAGGACACACCCCTGTAGCAATGGGTTTAGAATATTGTAACGGAACATGCTTCATCTTCTTAACATTTCTTCCTTTTCTTTTTAAAACATATCTACCCCTTGCATATCTACCCCAACATTGTTAATGGACACACTCCCTTCCCTTTTTTTCATGTGAAATCAGTAAGGCACACCCCTTTTGGTGTGGGATTTAGAATATTCC